ACTCTATTCTCTTCTAGCTTGTAGAGTTTCCTCTGAGAGGTCAGGAGTGAGTCTGACTGGGGTTCCTCTATATGTTAATTGATTTTTTTTACTTGCATATTTAAAGATCTTTTTCCCTGTGTTCAACTGAGGAGAGCTTGATTATCTATCAATCATTTGTCAAGGTGAAGATCACTTTGGATCAACCCTCTTGGGAGTTCTGTGTCCCTCCTGCATTTTGTTTCCCAATTTGTTCTCCAACTTAGGGAAGTTTTCCTCTATTAATTTCATTGAATATATTTTTAAACCCAGATTCTCTTTCTGTGCCTTCTGGAACTCCTATAACTGTTACATTCAGCCTTTTAATAGTGTCGCTTAATTTTCGAATCCCGTCTTAGCTTGACTCAGTTCCTCTTCCAGCTTTTTGATTTTACCCCCATTGTTGAAGGAAATATCTTCCAATTCTGAGATCCTTTCTTTTGCCTTACCCATTCTATTATTGAGTCGTCCCACTGAATGTTTAATTTGCTCCATTGTGTCTATCGTTTCTAATAATTCTGCTTGATTTTGTTTCAATGTTACTATTTCCTGTGTGATATATTCCTCAGACTTCTTAGACTCCTGTTTGTGCTTCTCATTGCTGTTAAGAAGCTTTATAATAAGTGTTTTTAAATTCTTTGTCCCCCATTTCTTTGATGTCTTCCTCAGTTAACTCAGATTGGCAAAGGCTTTTGCTCCTTTGTGGGGGAGGCATCAGTAATACTCATTGTACCTCTGTCTCTTCTTTTGCTTTTGGTCATTGTACTTCTGGTTAGCAGATTCCTCTACTAAGGGCCAGTTTCTAAGTTGCATTGCCCATTGGTCTATAGGTCCAATTTACTGATTGCATTTTGTATCTGGTTCTTTATTTGCAATCACTTGTGCCACTCCCTCCAGCAAGTTTCAGTCCCAGGGTCTTGTGCCAGGTTTCTACCATGGTCTCCATACCCCCAGTTCCTGGCTCACCACTTTCCACCCCCGTGTGATCCTGTGCTGTGGCCACACCTTTGGCTGCATAACCTTTATCCCACTCCCAGTTCGAACAGTTTCTGGGATTAGGGAGATGCCAGCTGTCCTAAATCACTGGATTACCAATGACGCTGGTCTTGCCAGAACCTGCTTGGTCTGGAGGCCACCCAGACCTATTTTGAGTGGAACCTGTTGGATGCCAAGTCAGTCCTGTTTTCCCTGTGGGACCGGTGCAATATGTTGAGGCTGACATGGGTTCTAACCCAGCTTAGCAACAGAGCTCACTGTTCTTTCTCCAACTCCCCCAGCCTTTTCCTCAGTTCACAAAATGATGCCTGATATGGCATGGGGCGGGTCTGGGCCTGCTGGTTGTTAGGTCTAGGGGCCACCTGAACCTATCTTGGGTGGAACATTAGGATGCCAAGTTCGTACTGTTTTCCCTGTGGGATCAGTGCAATGTGTCAAGCTAGAAATGAACTTGCTCCCGGCTTAGCATATACACAGCTCACTGTTGTCCCTCTAGCCTCACAGCCTTTTTCTCGAGCACAAAATGGTGCCTGATGTGGTACCAATGGGGGGTCTGAGCCATGAAATTCACCCTGCTCCTATACCTGTCTGCTTTGGCTCTGCCACTCTGCTTTGGTTCAAGGTCAAATCAAACAAATGAGCAGGATAGGCAATTCTATGCCTGGGTTTACCTTCTGAGTTCCCAGTGAATGCTCCTTTCCATCTGGCTGCTGGTGGAGCTCTGATCATTGAATACTGATTGCTGCTGAGTTACCTGGTCACCACACACCGCTCTGCGGTTCCTACTGCTCCCCTATGTCCACAGAGCTCCAGGTGTCACCCTGCCATTGACCTGTTCTCTCCCATTTGCCAGGATTGTGGCCTCTCTGCTTCATCCTGGCGAATTATTCTCCATCTATTTAAACATGTCCTTACCCTATTCTGCCATCTTGTTTCTCTGAAGCCACCTTTGAATCTGGTGTGTGTGGGCAATCACCCTAGTCCCCTGCCCTGCTGCCTAACCTTTCCCAAGGCCTGCGGCACAGCTTTCAGCCTTAAACGTGGAGTGTGACCTCTAACATGACTGGAAGATCTGGGGAAATGAATGTGTCATACTGCCAATTGTAGCATCTTTGGTGGGCGTCGGGTCTGCTGGAAGGCTCCCTCCTGCTCTCCCCTTCCTCACCCTTTAAAATCTGTAACCTGTGCATAATAAAGTGGACATTCCTTAGCAGCTTGCCTCTGTTTGTTCTTGCAGCCGAATGCTACGGTCTGCCTCACAATCAGTGACCTTGGGGCCTGCTGGCAGGTCTAAACCTCGAGGGGTATGTGCGAAGGAGGATTTGATGAAAATGCTGTGTTGACATGGAAGGAGCTAATTCTTTAACAATCAGACCTTTAAAGGGAAGACAGAAAAAAATGCTGGACTATGGAGGCCATTCTAACTACTCAATCTTTACCCCCTTTGTAGGAGTGAAGATTTATCTATCTGTTTGAAAGTCAGAGTTAGAGAGGGAGAGGCAGAGATGGAAAGCTCTTCCACCTGCTGGTTCACGCCCCAGTTGTCTGCAACAGCCAGCACTGGACTTTGCCAAAGCCAGGATCCTGAAGCTTCTTCTGAGGCTCCCATTTGAGTGGCAGGGGCCCAAGCAGTTGAACTATCTTCTACTTTTATCAGGCTATTAGTAGGTAGCGAGATTGGAAGAAAGGCAGCCAGGACTCAAGCTGATGTCCAAATGGGATCCTGTCATCACAGGAAGCGGCCTTACCTACTAGGACATGACACCATCCTCAGTAGACATTAGTCTTCTCCCCATTTGACAGATAAAACACTGAGAATCATAGGTGTTAGTTAACTGATCCTGAAGCTCGTACAGAAGAGCTGAGTAGGATTGCAATGCAGCTCAACCCACATGAGACAGCAAAGTTCACTGATGCCCAGCTAATGGCCATCCTTCAAAGGAGACAACTGGAATGGTATTAAAACAACTGGTTAACTGTGAAAGAAGATGAAGGATTCTCCCTCTCCTCCCAAATGATATTCTCAGAAAGTCCCATGGAGATAGTGAGAGACAAAATTGAAGGCTCATATTTCCATGTCCAGTAGCTATCTGCCTGTGGATAGCCAATGTTTCCAGTATCATTTATTGAGAAGCTTACCCTGTTCTCCATTGAGGAGTCCCATCACCTTTGCCAAAAATCAGAAGATCATATATAAGTGGGTCTATTTCTGAATTCTTGATCTCATTTCTTTGGTTTATTCATTCATCTCTATGCCGCAACACTATTTTGATTACTGTAGTTTTGTAACAAGTTTTTATGTTGAGAATTCCAAGCCCTCCAACTTTCTCAAAGTTACTGGTCATTCTGGGCCCTTGGCATTTTTAACTTGAATCCATAATTCGTCCACCAGTTTTTACACAGTTTGCTGACATTTGGATTGTGTAGAGTCTATGGCTCAATTTGAAGAGAGCTAACATCCCAACGACACTGAGACTTCAGATCCATGGATATGATATAGCTTATTTATTCAGGCCTTTAATTTCATTCAGTAGTATTTAATAGTTTTAACTGTTAAGGTTTTGCAGCTTTCTCATGCTTATCTCTAAGTAGATTCTATTTTTCTACTAATATAAATATTTTAAAAATCCAAAGTCCGATTGTTCATTAGTAAGTCAAAAAATCAGAAGTGAAACGATTCTAAGCTGGAGACTTTTTGTGTACAGAAATAAAATCAGTTTTTGTATGTTGAGATTAAATACTGCAACCTTGCTAAACTCATACATGAGGTCACTTCAAAAAGGACAGGGAAATGGAGTTTAAAAATGTTTGTTTCCCATACATCTTCTGAAGATCCATTATGTTAGCTCTAGTAGCACTTTATTTATTAGATTTAATCAGATGTTCTGCACAGATAACATCACCAAAAATAGTTCTCTGAGGGGCCATGTTCAACAAGGCTGCATTCTAAAAAATTGCATCCTCAGCCTGATATAAGGAAATTGGAGGCACCAACTTGAGAATGGGCCAGTCTTGTAAGCTTGACCTCAGGGCAGTGGATCCATAGACCTTGTGGCTAATATTGAAACGGGTCAATAGTCTATCACACTTGGGGTACACCCTCGCACTGATTACTTCATAATGCGCAAGAGCTCAGGTGAAGACTAAAGTGGTCTATCTTGAATTAGAACAATCTCCAGAAAATCCACTTTCTCTCACTTAAACCTCCATGAATCATCCTTCTTGGTCTATGGGGCTTCTCATCCTAGCCCCCTTTAACCCTACCTCCACTAAGTTATATGATGTTAAAGATGCAAATCATGCAATGCTAGGCCCTGCACTGAGATTAAAACCCAAACTCCTCTCTCAGGCCCAGAGATGGCACCCTATGCCCCACCTCTGGTTACAAAGTACCTGGTTTACAACTTCTCATTGCCCTTTCAACTAATGATCACTCTCAGAACACCCAGACTTTTTATCGTTAAACTGAGCACCAGGACCCTGCTTTTTATTACCCGACAAGCAGCAGGCACTCAGTAAGTGGTCTGCACCATGGCCACAGTGCTCTGTAGCTGAGCACACACACACAACCCCTCACCCGCCTGCTTCTCTGCGTTTGTGAATGACCTGACAGTGTATCTTCTGCTCCCCTGCCTTTAAAAGGGGAGTTCTAATCCCAGCTCTTCCTCCTAGAAGATTCTAGAAATTATTCATGCCTGGATCCTATCACACTCCATTGAAATTCAAGCCTCTGGGAGTGGGACTCTGGACATTTGTGGCTTTCAAGCTCTCCAGGGGACTCGCTTGAGCATCCAGAATAAAGGAGCATTGATGCTGGTGAGGAGGCAAGTGTCACACAGCTAGACAACCACGGATGGACTCACTGCAGGAGGCCAGCAGGTGAGACCCAGCAGACACCTGCCCCAGGGTGACAGGGCGTCCAGCCCAGCCGCCTGAAGGGTGCACCTCCCTCTTGAGCAAGAGAAAATGAAAAGATCAGACCAGAGTGGAAAGCATTTTCAAACTTTATTTACAACTGTCACAGTGACAAAAAGTAGTTTGGAAAAAAAAAATGCTAGTTTCTCCCTGAGCCTCAAAAAAGAACAGACAGAAGTTACAGGAGGATCATCTCACAACAGGCATTTTTACTGAAATACTAGGATTATTTTTTTCAATACGATCAGTTAGAAATACACACAAAGTACTTAAAAAAGAGAAAGAGAGAGAGAGGAGGCCAGGCAGGAGCTGAGTCGCTTGTCCAAGAGCAGCTGGGTCCCTCCCAACAGGCTCAGCTGTCAGGGGTCCCGACTGGAGCTGCCAGCCCTGGCCTGCTCACGCGGCACATAGCCACACAGCCACGACAATAAACCAGCCCCATAAACATACAGAGACACAGAATAGATTTGTTACGCAGTTTACAAGCACGTTCCCACCACACAGCAAGACCAGGACAGATGATCAGAAGGCGGGGGGTGGGGGGGCAGACGGGAAGGGGACACGGAAACATAGGACTTGAGAAGGCAAGACCCCCAGCACACAGCGGGAGCGGAGGGAAGGAGGGAAGAGAAATGGCGTGAGGCGATGAGCGGAAGGTCAGCAACCTTCCGCAGCCAGCACAGGACGAGGGGGGGCACGCAACAGAAGCCCCCTTGCATTGCAGGCTGCGGGTCTCTCCCACATCTGTGAGGAGCTGGAAGAAGTTATTGCCATCAGTGTGTGCAACACAGGCGGACGACAGAGGGAGGAAGCAGGGGGGCGAGGGAGACTCTCGGTCTCTCAGGACCAACTCCACCAACTAACTGTCCCAGCAACAGCACACCTTGCCCCACTCCCAGTATGCCCCCCAGAGCCACGGTGACCTTGAGGTATTAAAAGCAGCCAGACACAGCCAGTCCAACCTGGGGGGTGAGGAGGGTCCACCTGGACCAACTGGAGACCTGAGGGCACACCTTGGTTGGGTGTGTTTAGTCCAAGGAAGGCTCCAAGTTCATCTCTCAGGCACATCGCCCTGCTCCAATGCCAAGGTAAGTGCAACAGTTTGTTTGCAGCCGGTTGCTTCCCGTGGTTTGGAACTGAGATGCTCCAAGTCCAAAGGCGAACTTTCTCACACACCTGAAGCCCTTGCAGGAAACAGGTGGGAGGTGAGGAAGGACGGAGCACTCCCTCACTGTGCCTCCCACTCAACTCAAGAGACAATTTGGCCAAAAGCCTGGGGTCTCAGGAGAGCACCCCCAGGGCGGGAACTCCCAGGCTGCACCAGCTCTCCGGACCTGCCCAGTAAGAAACAGAAAAAGCCAGCTCTGCTCTTCATTTGGCTCCCACAAGCCACAGAGGCCAAGGACCCACACAACAGTGAGTGGTGCAGCTGGTCAAACAGGCTGGAATTCTCAGTAGATGGGGAACCGCTCTGACTGGTACCTGAAGCTGGGGTTGCCGAATGCATGGTGGTAAGGCCAGTCAAGGGCCTGGATGAGCCACTGCTTCTGCTGAACTCTTGAGAGCAAGGCTGGGGCCAGAGGGAGGGCTTCCGAGGGTGGGACCTTCCTGTTGCTGGGGGTGTCTGCCTAGAGGCCTCCAAGAACAGGAAGTGCTCTTGCTACTCCGCAAAGGGCTGGCGGAAAAGCTTAAGTCAAAGGAGGATCACTCAAAGGCGCAGCCTCGAAAAGCCTCTCCAGGTGACCAGGACTCTAAGCTGGTCGCAGCAGGAGCCAAGTCCAAGGGTTAGGCAGGGGAGGAGTGAGCAACTGGGGCAGAGCGGGGGTGAGGGTGCTGTTCCTTTCTTGCGTATTCCCTCCAGCAGGGCTGCCCCTGTTCCCCAGGCCCATTTCCTTGCTAGAGCCCACACACCTGGAACCAAAGCATAGGGTGGCAGTGCTGAGGCTGGAGCAAAATGAGCAGTGAATTCTGTAACCCCCGCAGCAAGGGCCTCCACTGGCTCAATGTTAGGCTTTTTCTCTGTTGCCCCAAGTTGGTTTTCTGGAGCTCTTCGCTCTTCTCCCCCAGCCCTCAGCACCCACACCCACCCCGGCTCCCGTCCCCCTCACCCCCTCGCCTCTGCCCTGAGCCCAGATACCATCGAGGGCCCCACCCCACCCCCAGCTCGGAGCAGCTTCCTTCCTCAGGAGCTGTTGCAGGCTGTCAGCGGGCTTCACCGCTCGCCACAGTTCAAAAAAGCAAGAAAAGAAAAGAAGACGATAAACCCAGTGGGGGGTTTCGCAGGTGCAAAACGGAAGCCTCCTCGGACGTTTTCAGAACCTCCGCAACTTGCTCTCTTCTTCCAGGATGGGAAGACCACAGTTCAGAGACAGCTGCCGCCAGCAGACAGGACCGCACCCGCGGAGGCCATGGGGACCCTACTGCTCTTTCTTTTCCTTCGCTGTGTCTTCGCAGTTGTCCTGCTCATCCTCCTGGACCAAGAACTCCTCGGGTGGCCACCGGAGCTCCCCACTCTCCACCTCCCCCTCTGTGGGCTCCACCACTATGGAGGGCAGGCGGTCCTTCAGCTTGCAGCAGCGGTCAAAGTCTGACGGGTCGGGGAAGATCTGAAAAGAAAGCAGAGCAGGTACCTGGTCACATCAGAGCTGGAAGAGACCGGGTCAGTCCCTGCATCCCGCCTACGCGGGCTAGTCCACACCAGGAACCGGACTAGGCCCGTGGGATGCTGTGGAGCCAAGGCACACAGCTCTAGGCTAAGGCAAGACTGGAAGCTTTCCCAAAGCCAGGCTTGGATTCTGATCCTGAAGCTAAGCACTGCGCGGGTGGGGGCGGGGGGGGGGAGGAGGGAGCAGGACCACTGAGTCCTGCAGGTGGATGTAGCTCATACTTTCTCTTTGCACACAAAAGAATTCAGAATCACAGGAAGTCACATCCGTTTGCAGCAGTTCAAAGCATGAAAGAGGTCTCCACACCAGAAGTTTGTTCTGAAGTGTTACAGGCACTTGGTAGAAGCCAGCTACCAGGTGCTTGGCAGACAGGCAAACCAACAGGTGCCGCTACGGGCTACTTGGAAATACTCCAGCTTAGTCAAGTTGGGTATACTAAATTACCCAGTCTAGAAATGAGTGAGAGGCAGAATGGGCTGTAAAACCAGGTCGGCATGACACCCATGCCTGCGCCCCAACCCCATCCAGCCCCTCAAGTAGGAATCTGATGCCAGTGTCCCAGTAATCAAACAGGAAGCAGGACCCCCAGGCATAGTCCATCCAGGCTCCTACTGTCTCCCAGCTAGCTTCTTACTGGCCCCACACCTGGAAGAGTCTTCCAAGGTCCTATCATCAAGGCAGCGATTTTGAAAGACCTATTGTATGTCCCACCCAGAGCTGGCAGCCAGGCTATAAAACCAAGGGCCATGTCTGCTTTGTGGATTCCTTCTGCCTGCACTGCCCTAGGACCACAGATGACCCAATTCTGTGTCTAGCAGCTTAAGTGTTTAATCTGCTGGGCTGCTGGTCCCTTGTCACTCAATAGCTCCTGGTGACGCATCCGAGAGTTGCGGAAAACAGCCCAGTCTAGCATGCCAGGGCTCACAAAACCACAGACTGAAGGCAGCTTCAAGGGCATCTCTTCCCATCTCTCCTTTTGACAGTTGAGAAAATCAAGGTCTGGAGGGGTCAAGATTCTGGCTCAAGGCCACTGAGCTTCTTCCAGGCTCAAGCAAGATTTGGAGTGGGTGGAGGCAGACAAGGGAAGAAATGCGGGGGCTGCTTGAATAGAGGCGGACCTGGGCAGCAGACAGGTATCTTCAACTCCTAGGAGGTGGATGAAAGGCCTTTCTGTGAAGTCAGGCCTCCTCATTCCCATGCTGTTCCGAGGGTGCCCTTCTTACTGCACCCCAACCCTGGGCCAGCCAAGTCACACTCCAACCACGTCACAGGCCACATGGGGCTTCAGGGCATCACAGGCCTCAATGATGCCACCTGAACCCCCTGCAGATGACTGATTATTAACCATTTATCCAATAAAGACCTATTGCTGGGGATTAAGCCTTAAGCCAGTAGCACAACCAGGCATCATTAAAGTCTTAACAAGGCTCATAAAATGTACTGTAATGGCAGCCAGATGGAAAACAAGCTAGGGAGGAGCCAGGCCAGGCCAGGTCAAACAAGGCTGGGGCAGCTGACCCCGACTCCAGGCTTTCCCCTGTGACTGCAGCCAGCCCAGATGTTCTGCCTTGGGTTGTGCTGGGCACACAGAGAGGCAGGTGCTGTGTGGGGACTAGGTCAGGGGAGAGGCTTCCTACAGCTGTGGAGCTGGAATTCTGCTCTAGGGGTGAGGACACAAAGTGTCTTCCAGGCCTATGCTCTGGCAGGGAAGCAGCATGGAAAGCACCATAGAGTTTACAAAGCTCTTTCAGACACACACACCCCCAACCCTTCTCCCTAACCCACTTCGCCCTTGCTGCGTCCTCACTGCCTCCCTCCAGGCAGGTAGCAAGACCCTCAGACTCTGAGAGTCAAGTGCCTGAGCCAGTATTCAAACCTAGGTCTGAGGGCTTGGGGCACCTGTTCCTTAGAAAAATATAAGGATGCCACTTGGTCCATGTGCCCATCTCAGAGATGGAAAATAGACCAAGCAGGGCAAGTGGGACTCACCCAGTCAAGAGGCCCCAGTTTAGGCACCAGGATATGCACTGAGCTGGTTAGCCAGTTCCAAAGATGAGCTTGCTAGTCTAGAACCTGTCCTGTACCTTCAGGAGCCCAAGGCAAAGCTGTACGATGTCCCCAAAGAGACGGACACCTGACCTTGCACAGTCTTTGGCCCCTACCTCCCTCCTCTGACAGTACAAGCACAGGTCTGAGCCCACCTGTTGGCTTCTTGGCTGAAAGAGAACAAGGACATTCTGATTATGGCCACCAAACTCAGGAAGAGCGAAAGGGAGAGGGCAAAGCCAGCAACAGGAGGAAGAGGACAACAAGGGTACAAACATTGGATTTCGTCTAGAGCTAGTGATGGGTCTTTTGCTAATGTAAAGTGGAAAAGGCCAAAATGATGATGAGGAGGAGGAGGATGGATGGATAAAATATTTCCTGAGCAGAATCTCCACTGTCACAATTATATTTTATGGATGGGGACATTGAAGATGTGTGATTTCCTCAAGGCCACACCTTCAGGCAGTGGCTGACCTGGGGCCCAAGTTCAGACATGTAGGACTCCAAACAAAGCATTTGATTTGATAACATGTTGAGTCAAGCCACAGCGCCCTGATTCTCGCTATGTCTGTGCCACTGATCCTCAAACCCATCAAGACCTCTCCATCTACTGCACCTCAGTTTCTCCCTCATAAAATGGGTACAAGTTCTCAACAAAGATGAGAAAATACCACGACGACACAAGCTGACTGCAAATTCCAATGTCTTCCTTGGAGCGATTTCAAAGGGGTCTGCAGCGAGCCTCCCCTCTCTAGGCAAGACACAGCACAGTTTGGACAATGTCTTTCAAACCCAGAGCTGCACAGCTAAGTCTTTTAAGTCCTCGGGGGAAGCCCCAGCACTGAACTCCTGGGACTGCTGGATTGCCTGAGAACTTTGCTCCCAAATTACTCAAAAAACATACCGTTAAAAAAAATATTTTTTACAAAGCTTGTCAACTGTATATTTAAAAATCATTAGGATAATCTAATTCTCCCATCAGAGATTTTATTATCAGATTATATCTATTTATGCTTCTGAAAATTGTAGCTCTCTCCACAAACATACAAAAAGCACCCAGAACCAAAACAGCTTCTGGTTTCCTTTCAAAGAGACAGAAAGCCTTGCAAAATGTTGCTAAGTATTTTGCCAGCACAATCTTATCTCCGACAGCTGCTTAAAAGCCTGACCCTAAGGAGGTCAACATTTTTCCACTAAGTCATGCTTTTTAATCATCCAGGCAGCAGAAAAATGAGAGGTTGCAACTACAATTTGCGGGGTGGGAAAGGCAGTGGAAAAAAGGACGGGAGTCAGACTTGCCAAGCACATGACAGGTAGGGTTGAGGCAGCAGGCCAGCCTGGCATGCTGTTTGCCTGCAGGCACTGGCAAGGAATAAAGGACTACCCTGTCCCAAAAAGAAACTGCTTCTGGTTCTTAAACTTCTTGCCCCACAGTGTCCCTTCTGTTGGGACTGTAGAAACTTGAAACATAAAACCAACAAATCCTTTCCCTCTTCCTTCTGCAACAAAAGCTCCAAAAAGACCTCTAGGGCAAGGCAGGTGGAAAAGCATCCATTCCCCCTCTCCCGCCCATCCCCCTAGCTAAGATCCTTTAGCTCTGCACTTTCTATCCTCTACCAATGCCAGATTCTTAAACCTGGCTTCCTAGACCGATCACTTAGATGAAACAAATGGACATCAAGTTCCTTTCTTTGCAAATAAAGTGAAATTTTAAATTTTTTGTTAGAGTGGGAAGAGAGAGAGAGCGCCCATCTACTGGTTAACTCCCCAAATGCCTGTAAGAGCTGAGGCTTGGTCGGGTGGAGAAGTCAGGAACCAGGAAATCGACCCAGGTCTCCCATATGAGTAACAGAGGCCTAACTGCTTCGGTTGCCACCTGCTGATTCACAGGGTACACATCAATACGAAGCTGGAATTAGAAGTAGAGCCAGGACACAAACCTAGACTATTTTATATGGGGTTTGAACACTTGCTCCCCAAGAACTAATGTACCCCCACTGTGTAGGAGGGGCAATCAACCTTGGTGATGGTAATTTCAGAGGTAAGATTGGTCAGGTGACCCCCAATTCCAGCTTGCCCTCAGTGTTTCAGGAATACACATGGAGTCACTAGAAAAGTCCGGGGAACTTTAGGGCCATCTAAAAAGAAGAGAGGATGGAGTTTAGAGGCCGATAGATCTGAGATTCTGGTGGTTAGTTCTACACTGTCCAACGGAACATCCTGCAACAATGGCAGGATTCTCTGTTATCCAAAACTTAGAACCACTAGCCACACATGGCTGTCAAGCACTGGAAATGTGGCTGTCATCTTAAATCTGATGAGTATAAATGTATACACAAGCAAACGGAATATGAACACAAATGTGATCTAAGTGTAAATGGGTGCCCATGGCAAGTGGCCATTGCCTCAGACGGATGGTATAGCCTGAGGATGATGAAAATAGGTCTGGGCCAACTCGGCATGTTTGGTGACCTGACAACACCAGCGGCCCCTGAGCCAAGAACTCGGAGCCCGGGGCAAGCTTCTAGTGATGAGGGATTTGTCAGCGGGTTTTTTGCTCACGTGGAAACAACTGTCGGTGATTCAGCTCCCATTTCACCCACGGAGGGGAACTGGAAGGCAACACCAGGCCTCCACAGTCCCAGTTTTGGGGATCTAGCTATCAGCTGTCTGCCTCTAAGCCAGGTGACCTCAACCTGGCTGTCTCTGGAATGGGGAGAGGAAGAGGGCTGGCACCTGGTGTGGAAAATGTGAGTGATGTTGATGGGAACCGCCCTGCCCTGCCTTGTGCATCCCCGAGCCAGCCTCTCTGACAAACATCCAAGGCCGGTCACAAAGAGGGCGGGAGGGCTCAGCCCAGAACTGAAAGATGCTAATGGGGAAAGCGGACACCC